CCAGCGAGGTCCCAGCCGCGTGTCCCCGCAGTTCCGCTGCTGCGGCGTCTCCAACTACACGGACTGGTTCGAGGTCTACAACGCCACGCGCGTGCCCGACTCCTGCTGCCTGGAGTTCAGCGAGAGCTGCGGGCTGCACGCCCCCGGCACCTGGTGGAAGGCGGTGAGCCCGCGCCCCCGATTCGGCCCCGGGCCCGGGGGTCGGCCTTGCGCCCGGGGCCCGCCCCAGTGACACCCGCTCTCCCTCCAGCCGTGTTACGAGACGGTGAAGATGTGGCTCCAGGAGAACCTGCTGGCGGTGGGCGTCTTCGGGCTGTGCACAGCGCTGGTGCAGGTATGGGGGCCGGGGCACGCCGCGTGGAGCCCACCGCCCCAGGCAGAGGTGGGGTTGTGGCAGTGGTCAGGGACACCGCCACGGAGGAACTGCCTTTGACACCCCAGCGATAGATGGGCTGCCCTGGGCTCCTGAGAGGCGGGCGGAGGCACAGCCTGGACGCCTCTGTGCTGAGGACCCTGTGCCCCCGGCCAGCCCGAGCCCCAGCCCACGGGACTGCCCAGTGTGGTGAGGGTGGGCAACCCCAGCCCTGATAGGCAGGTCCAGCTGGGCCCTGCCCCCCTACCCCCTGGTCCCCTGGGGAGCTGAGCCAGGTCAGTAAACCTGGTCATCAGGGCAGCCGCCCTTCCTGAGGTTCACAGACAGATGGGAGGTGGAAGCCAGGCCAGATGGACACTCATAAGTGACGATCACAGTTGGATGAATGGGCAAGGGGCAGGATGCTGGGGCTTTGGGGCAGGTGGGGAGGGGGCAGGTGGCCCAAGACCCAGCCTGGAGCTAATGGGCCCTGAAACAGTCCCTGAAGCCATGGGCAGAGCCCAGGTGGCCATGCCAGAGGGAAAGGTGGGCCTGGGTCTGAGCCCAAGGAACCTCTCGAGCTGATGGATCTGAATTGCCAAGGGTGGGGGAAACATCCCCACAGGAGGGGCCAGGCCATCGGGACCTGTGGGGCAGGGTCCAGGCCTCTGTAGGCAGGACCTGGTTCCATGGAGTGGTTCTGCCCGGCCCCCTCATGTCCCTGCAGATCTTGGGCCTGACCTTTGCGATGACCATGTACTGCCAGGTGGTGAAGGCCGACACCTACTGTGCGTAGGCTGCCCACTGCCCGCCACCCTGCTCCGCTGCCAAAGGACGCCGCCTACCCGGGAGATGGCCTCGTCCTGCTGCAGGCCTCTGCCAGCCTGTACGTGGGGGAGGGAAGGCGGCGTCCCCAGGACCTTGGCCAGGCCTCTGAGCACCATGCCAGAGGGGGCAGCTGAGCACTGGCCACATGGGGGCCTGGGAGGGCTTCTGGCATCTTAACTTCTTCATCCATGTATCTCCAGAGCAGTGTTTCCCCTGAGACCCTGTGAAGGGCAGGAGGTTGGGGCCACACACGGGCTGGGGTGGGGGCAAGGGGCCTCCTGCTGACCCTGGTGCTTGGGCAGGGCCGGAGCCCTGACATCCACATTCCACATGGGGCCTGGGCAGGCTCCCGGTGCATCTTAATAAAATGTGTGGGCAGCAGCCCCCAGCTGTGTTTGTCGCTGCCCTGACCCCCCACGGGGGGTACCATGTCTAGGCACACCTGTGCCCATGGACCCCCCACCAATATGGGACAGGTGCCTGGAGTGGGATTCCAGGACATACACAGGCCCAGGTGAGCTGCCCAGGCCAGGCAGAGAGGGACTTGTGTACCTCAGGACAGCCACCAAAACCTCCATTAAATTAGCTCCAAGAAATGGTGCAGAGGCCCCAGGAACTGCTGAGTCTCCCTGACCTATCCACTTGCCCCTCCCCTGACATGGGGTGGCCTCTTACCCAGCCCCGGGCCTGCCCCCCGCCCCCGCCCTGGTGTCCTCAGTGAGTGGAGTCCAGCCCCTTGCTCCCTGTTACTGATTCCTGTTTTGTTCCTGGGAACTGTGCCCCTAAGTGTTACTCTGTACAACTTGGCAAATAAAGTGGGCTGTGGGGTCCAAGCAGCGTCACGGGGCCCAGGATCAGCAGTGGGGTCTGAGCAGCGTCATGGGGCCCAGGATCAGCAGTGGGGTCTGAGCAGCATCACGGGGCCCAGGATCAGCAGTGGTCCAGCTGCATCATGCACCTGAGGGTGGGGCTTCCGGTGAACAGGAATGATGGCACTGAGGGGCCTGGGTCTGGCGTCCAGGTTGGGGGATGGGCTGCTCTCAGGAGCCTCATGGGCTGTGGGGCATCACCACCAAACCCCACCCATAACCTATTTCCAGCCCCCATTCCTGTCTGCTCTGCAGCCCAGCCTTGGTCACCACCTGTGTCACTGTTCTGTGGCAGGCCCACCTGGTGACACCTGCCACAGGCATGCCCCAGACCACCAGGGCGTGCAGCCCCGCCCCAATTCCTGTCTTGCCCCTATGCCCTCCTCCTGAACTAACGTGGAGGTTACATTCTGGGGACACAGTTACCACATTGACACCTTCTTACCAGCCGCAAATGAAGTGAGAACAGTCACACGTCTGCAAAGCTGTCTAACCCACTGTACCCACAGCCCTATGCCCAGCCCCCTTCAGTGCTTCTCCCCAACTTCTGCATGGCTGGCCCTGGGGGTAGTTGGCTGGGCCCTGGGATCTGTCCCTGGGGCCAGGGGGCCCACTGAGATAACTTTTGGGCAGTGGGGTGGGGAGCCTCCTGCCAAGTCCTTCGGCTCCTCGCAATCCAAGTGTTTCCCATATTTCATCCCAGTCTCATCCTGAGACTGACCACAAAGCCCAAGGCACCAACGGGCTCCCAGGGGTCCTGCTGCCAGCAGGGTCCAGGCCTAGTTCTCTGGAGGCAGGTCCAGCATTTCTGAGCCGTTTTTTGCAGTGGCCCCATACCCTTGCCACAGAGGAGCTTGGCAGGCTTGTTGGTAGCTTGGGGTAGCAGGTAGGCAAGTCAGTGTGGGCAGTGGGAGGCCCAGGGTGGCATGGTGGAGCCACCCCTGCCAGGTGTCCAGGTCTGGGAAAGCTGGATTGTTCTGAAGCCTCCAAACCCATTTGGAACCATGGAACAGCTGGTTTCCTGACACCCTGTGGGCGGGGACTGTTCTCAAGTGTCCCCAGGCCAGAGTTGTTTCTCCTCTTGTCACTGACAAAGGACGGGGGTCCCGGGACGCGTCTGTCCCCACCCAAGGATTGCACCGACACAGCCAGGAAGAGAGAGGAGTCTGTATTTCACAAGTCGCTCCATCGCTTAGAAAGCATGTCTGCTCTGGAGCTGGGTCTAGAGCAGGTCATAGAAGTAGTCCAGGCCCTGGCCCAGCTCCCAGATGGACAGCCCGACGCCCAGCTCCCTGGCCAGCTCCAGCCGCACCTGCAAGGACTGCAGGCAGAGGGGAACATCAGCCTCCACCTCTCGTCCCCAGGGCAGCCCTGGTGGCCCACCCACTCTGAAACACACCCAGACCTGAGCCCCTTGTCCCAGAGGGAAGCACATCAGACCCTGCACTGACTCTCTGCCCACCTCGGCCTTACTGAGGGCAAGGGTCACTGTGGGGAGGGCTGTGCCTGCTGCCCCCAGTGCAGCATTGAGGCTGGGCCTACGTACCTTCAGCGTCGGGTAGAAGATGGTGTGCTTCCCACCTCGGCTTCTGCAAAGGATAGTAGGACCATCTGTTCCTGCCTCTGGCTCTCCCGGGCCCTCCCCTGGAAGGGGGTGCTGCCCCCCATCCTCCCTCTGGCCCAGGTATGAGGTCTGGTTGGAAAGCCCCTCAATGGGACCTCTTCCTTGGGCCAGGCCCATCTCTGGGCAGAGGTGGGGCTCGTAGCCAGGGACCCACCAGCCAGCCCTTCGGCCCAGGGCTGGTCCTGAACACTCACTTCTTGTACTCAAAGAAGTGCTCTGCTGCCTGGCTGTCCCACACGATCCGGGGCCTGTGCTCCTTCAGAGTCTGGATGTACCTGGGGAAGTCAGGGTGTGGGTGCGAGCACTCTCCCACACCCGCCCGACACCCCAGCCCACCAGGAGGCCTCGCCCACGACGCCTGACACCTGGGCAGGGTGGCGGTGGCTGTGGCTGTCACAGAAGGGGGGGAGGCCGACCAAAGAAGGGAGGGACAAAGGCAAAGGGAAGAAGGGCAAGGTCCCTCCGTGGACGCAAAAAAGCCTATGAGAGGAGCCTGGGCCACCCAAACCAGCACCCTCCCTAGAGGCAGATGTGACCCAGCCTGTACCGAAAGCCTCGAGCTGACCCTGCCTGCCTATCGCAGGCCTGTTCTGTCCACAGGAGTCCCCTCAGCCCCGCCCCTGCAGGACCCCCAATCGCCCTTGAGACGAGTGAGCAGCCGCCTGTCAGCACTTGGCCTGCTCTGGCGGGTTATTTATTCTGGCCCCAAGGGAGGCTCTGCTGGGCCAGATGCATCTGCTCCTGCCGAGGTGAGGTGAGGCTGGGGGGGCAGCGCCGGGTAGGGCTGTTCATCACTGACATGCGGCCTAGCCACACCCCTGGGCCCTGGGACCCATTCTCCACCCACCTGCTTCCCTCAGACCTGATGAAGCTGGGTGCACGCCGGCCTCCCTCCCTTGTCTATGAGGGGCACGCACGGGAGGAGACGGGAGGGGAAGTCGGCAGGGGCTGTGGCCCGGATGGCATACAGCCTTCTATCCAGGACTGGGGGGCAGCTAGAACCCCAATGCATCGGAGGGCAGCCGGTGTGCATGTGCGAACAGGTGCACACCCCCTACACGCAGGCACGTGTGCACACGCACAGATACCTTCACCATCAGGATTCCTTTCCGCAGCCCCTGGTCCCTCTTCAGAACAGCTGGGGCTGGTGGCCACTGGGGCCACATGGTGCCTTTTGTCATCTGACCCACACAAGCTGGTTAGGGCTCTAAAAACTGCACTGCAGGGGCTACTGCTGGGCCACGCTTAGTGAGTGAATTATAACTCTTCCCCTCAGACGGGGTTAGAGGTGAACTGTCCCCAAATTCCTAAGTTAGAGTCTGAGCCCCAGTCTAACATTCTGAAATGTGACTGAAGTGAGTAAGGTAAAATGAGGTCACTGGAGTGGCCCTAATCCAATGCGACTGCCATCCCCAAAAGAAGAGGAGACGAGGACACAGACACGCACAGGGGGACGGCCATGTGGGGACACGGGGAGAAGATGGCCCTCTACATGCCCAGGAGAGAGGCCTCAGGAGGAGCCAGCCCTGCTGATATCTGGATCTCAGCCTCCAGTCTCCAGGGCAGGGAGAGTAAATGTCTGTGGTTCAAGCCACCACCTGTGGTATCTGTGCAGTGGCCAGAGCTAAGGGTGGTCCCTCAAGGCCAACACCCCTTGCAGGCCAGGGATGTGGGGACAGCAGGAGTGGGGGAGAGGGGACCTTCCAGGAAGGGCTGCAATGGGGGAGTGGCAGTGCACAGGAGCACAAAGCAGCCGACCCGGGTGGATGGGCAGAAATGGGCTCTGACCACGGACGTCCCCCTGTGGACAAGGACGGAGCTGCAGCAGTGTGTGCCTGGACTGTGGTCTCTGGACACTCTCCACTGACAGGAGCGGGTCCTGAGAAAAGCTGTGGCTCACATGGTTTCCTGGGAACAGATGGGCACCTGAAACCCAGGTCAGGCACCGCCCAATGCGGCAAATGCACACCTGGCACCCAACCCAGGGCACAGGCCTGCAAAGGGCCCGTGACAGGACCACAGAAAGGAGCCACCACCAATGGGACCCAGAAGCAACTGATGTACGTGCAGAGTCTACGAGGGACACGGAAGGTGAGAGGAGACCCCAAGCCAGCCACTGGGCCAGCGGATCAACCGCAGGAGACATGGCAGGGAACGGCCAGTGAATGTGAAGATGCGACAAACACCGAAAAGAGCACGGAAAGAAAGAGTCCCCAAAAGTACCACAAGCGTCGGGGGCTGGGACAAACCCGCCAACCTGACAGACATGCACCTGAGGGCCTGGAGGTGAGGAGAGAAAGGGAGGGGCCGGAAAATAATTTGGAGAAACCGGCCAAAATTTTTCTATCCCTGGTAAGAAGTGAGAACCCACAGATCTAAGCAGCTCAATGCAAACCAAGTGCAGGAAGAAAGCCGCACACAGGCCCCTCCCGATCACTGTGGCAGGTGCCGGGGCAGCCACACGGAGGGGCAGCCCCACCCCACGAACCCCACTGGACACACACAGCAGGAAGGTGACAAAGCAACAACTTGGAAAAACTGGGAAAAAGACGACAACCAGAATTCTACACCCAGCAAAGATCTTGCAAAAAAGAAAATAAAGCCAAACAGAACTCAACACCAGCAGAGAGACACAGAGACCAAAAGGCGAGCAGAGGTCTGGGTCCACGTGACAAGAACCTCCAGAGAGGAGGTTTGTGGGGTCCTGCCTGAGCCGGCCCCATGTGCCACTTGAATCATGAAGGTTGTCCACCCACCTGCTGAGGGGGAAACACTATGGGTGTCCCAGCTTGGGCGGGGCTGACACAGCCCCCCACCCCGAGACTGTCTGCAGGTGCCTGGCAAGTGGTCAGATCCTCCCAGGGCTTCTCCCCTGCTCAGCCCACCACCTCTGGGAGATGTGCAGACCCCATGGAACAAAGGCCTCGAGAGGGACAGCAAAGGAGGCCACTGGGCATGACAGGGAGCCCCACTCACCTGGCCCCAATGACAGGCTCGCGGGCATCCCTGGAAGCTGAATAGTCCATGCCGTAGAAGTTGAGACCCAGGAGGATCTTGCTCCGCCACTTGGACTTGGGGTCCAGGACCTGGACACAGGCTCGCACCCAGGACAGTGGTGCGTTGGGGCCAGGCCTACAAGGCAAGGGAAGGGTGGGTTTCAGTGGCAGGCAGGGCTCTGTGTACGTGGTGGGGAGTGGGGGCAGCAGACGGTGGGACTACCCTGGCGCCTTCCTACTGGACACTCCTGTCTGCATCTGCTCCACCTGGGCCCCCGACGGGGCAGAATGGCCCAGGTCATGGCCCAATGTGGACAGAGGCAGCAGGAGGCAGCGGTGTGACACCATCTCCTTGGCAACATGGCAGGCCCAGGGCCAGCGGCCACCACTCCCCCGAGGTGTGGCTGGACACCCAGGATGCCCACTACCATCGGTCACATGACCCCAACATGGAATGGCTGCCTGACACATGGCCAGTTCTGGGCTTTGAAGACTACGCCAGGTCTCCACGCCCCTGGAACCCGAGGTGACCGCAGTGTGGTCCTGACAGGCCAGTGGGGAGCCAGGCCTCGCCTTTCCGAACATCCAGCCCGCAGGCGGTGAGCGCTGTGCACCCAGCCAGGGCTCGTAGGCCGGCACCCATACTCACTGCTGTGCGGTGGGGTAATCATAGGTCATGAGGCTGAATCCATCCAGCACGGGGCCCAGCTGCTCCAGCTCTTTGTGTGTGAACATGCCCAGCTGGTCGGTCCTGCACGAGACAAGCACAGCCACCAAGGCCCATCACACAGCCTGCCGGCCCCTCAGCCTTGCCCCTTCCCCCTCCACTCCAGGACCTCACACTCCCGGGAAATAACTCCGCACTCGATTATAGGGGACAGCCTGCCGTGTGCTCAGGGACACATTCCAGGAGCAAGGGTGGGGCTGCGAGGTCCACTGGGTCACCTCTAGGGCCTTGTCCACCCCCAAGACCTCCAACCCTCTACCCCTAACTGGTGACAGGTAGAAGGCAGGCCCATTATTGGGGGCCCACATCTGTTCCCCACATGCCCAGTCACCCAGGCCCCTACCAGCTGTCACCTGCCCCTCTCTGCTGCTACGCTCAGCATGAGCCCACCTGCCCCACAAGGGTCAGAGAGATCTTTGACCTGCAGGCCCCTCAGCCCTCCAGCCTGGACCTCTACCTCCCACCATACCTCCCACGCCTGTCCCACATCCACAGGTGACCTGTGCCCCCCGCCCCGGTGAGTGGGACTGGGTTTCTGTGCCAAGGGGTACCCCAGAAGAACCTTCCTGACCATGGGGTGACCGCCTGTCAGAAACCGCAGGACACCCAGGAGTGGCTAGAGATGGGGGGAGGGGAGCAGCCCACATCAAGATGGACATCTGCCCGCGGGACAGCGAGTGGGGCTGGGCTCAGCAGGGCCTGTGTTGGGGGTCAGCTCCCTGAGGCTGAGCTAGAGGAGCCATCAGGGGCCCTGGAGCTGCAGCCGCTGAAGACGAGGCTGGACCAGCCCGTGAGGACGCCAAGCTCTAATCACACCAGTTCATTGTGCTGCGCACTGGCGTCTCCAGTGGTGCGTGAAGCTGAGTAAAGCCTCCATCCCCCCCACTCCGGAGACGGGTGGCTCCATGGGGGTGGGCTGTGACCTTGGGAGCAGGGCTCAAGGTCAGCACTGTTGGGAGGGCCCCAGGCAGAGCACAGCAGACAAAGGCGCCTCCCACACTCTGCACGCAGACCTCTCCCCGAGCACAGACTAGGAGGTGGATCCTGCTGTGGAAACGCTGGGAGAGGCGCCCGCCTGAGGAGAATGGGCATCAGTGAGGAGCCAGCTCCCAGGGCACCGCCAGCCAGGCCCGCCACACACGTAGACCCGCCAGCAAACACACCTGGCTGTCGGGCTGACCCAGGGGACCCTGCCCATAGCCCCAGCCATAGTGACCACGTCCCCTCCCTCCGGCATCCCCAGCCCACCACACCGAGGGAGCTTTCTCCTTTGGTGGCTGCAGAGTAAGGGACCGGTGACACCAGCTCACACACACATCCACTTCCTCCCTAGGGGCCAGGAGCTGGGCATGCAAGTTCCTGGGCAGAGAGGATGCCAGCTGGAAAGGGCCCTGCCATGCCCAGAGGTCAGTCCCTCCAGGGATATTCCCCCACTCCCCCACCTCTGTACATCTATTGTGAGTCTGCTCCCTGCACCCACCAGAAGCTGCAAGGCTCAGTGTGAGTGGACAGCCCATGCCAGGAAAAGGGCTGCAGGGAGGGTCCCTGACTCTAGTCATAGCACTGGAGCTGCCCCCAAAACAACCCAAAAAAGCAGAAGACTCAGGAAATGGGTACTGTGGGGTATAAGGCCTGAGTGCAGGGCAGGCAGACAGGCAGACACGCTGTCCCCAGAGAGCAGTGCCTGCTTTAAGGAGCGTCTGCCTCTGATGCCTGAGTGCCTGCAGGCTCCATGTGAGCCTCACTGGGTCTTTCCTATGAGTCTATCAACCTGAAAACGTCCCCAGTGGACATCAAGAGCCCAAGGGTCACTTAAACTGGTTCCCCCAGGAGCTCAGGGTTGCAGTCCCGGCTCCTGCCCACCCCTGCCCCCACTTTGAGACTGCTGTTCTACAACCCGAAGGACAGGGAGAAGGAGCCCCGGGCAGTGTGGCTGTCATGTCCACCCTGCCCAGGGCACAACGTCACAGCCAAGGGCAGACCAGGGACGGGCCAAGGCCTGGGGGCTCTGCCCAGCCTACAGTTCCTTGGTGATGTCCATTGGGGATGTTCACAGGTGTAGATTTGGCCATGGAGCTTCAGGGCCTTGCCCCAGAGCGAGTGGAATGTGTCTGAAAGACTCTGTCCCTCAAACGCGTGTGGGGGCTGGGACGCGGCCTTCACCAAACCCGACTCAGGTCCCCAGCCCGTTTCCACCCGTGTGTGCGCGGCCTGTGTGTGAGGGGGCTGTAGCATCTACCTGGACGGGGCTCCCCAGCCCAGGTGGGGGCAGCACTCACCCAGGGGTGACGGACGGTGGGATGACCAGGATGACCAGCAGCCGGGCCTGGTGCAGCGCCTCAGCCATGTGGGTGAGCATGTGGATGAGGCCCCTGAGAGGAAACGTGAGGTCAGACTGGGAGACTCAACAGAGACTCTGGTTGGTCTGTCCGGCAGGCACGCTCGAGGCACAGGATGCCCCAGCCCCCTAGGCACCAGCCACTCAGCAGCTCACACGCTGCCATGGTGCCCCTCCCACGCGTCCCAGGACCTCTCATGCAGGCACAGTGGGGCCAGGCAGAGTGGACGGAGTGCGGGACGTCTGGAACCTGACTGCACAGCAGCACAGTTCTCGCTGTCTCCAGCCATCCTCTCCCTACCGGGCATCACCCGACCAGGGCAGGAGCAGAGAAGGAGCCTTTCAGAGGCAATGGCTGGTGCGGGGTCTGAGCACAGGGAGGCGGGGACCTCTGTCCCCTGTGCCCACCCCATCCAGGGCAGAGGGCCAGCCTCTCCTCAGGTCCTGCTCTGTCGTACTCAGCAGCACCTCCTGCTGGTGGGCAAGCCTGACTCTGCCCGCTCGGCCTGGGCATCCTCCTGGGGAGGCTCCTCCTGCTCCTTTCACCACCACGCAGGGCAGGCGTCAGGGCCAAGGAAGCCGCGGCTGTGGGACGAAGGCTTCCTCCCAAGTGGGGTCCTCCTGTCCCTCCTCCAGCCTCCACTGAGACCCCTGGGGCCAGAGCCAACCGAGCCCACTCACACATGTTTCTGGCTCAGCAGCTGGCTCCAGACCTCCACCACGAAGCCGTCAAAATGCTGGCTCTGAAAGGATGGGGCAGGTGAGGACGGTGCAGTGACCAGGAGGATGGGAGGCAGACGCGGAGCCAGCCACCGGCGCCCACCCAGAAAGGTCACGGCCGGGGCTCGTGCCACAGGCATAGAAGTGCCTCTCTGAGGGGGGCCACAGGAGTCAAAGACAGAGCAACCAGGGCTCTCGTGTGTGCTGTCCACTCATTCCCTCCTCAACCCAACCCCTGGGGGCCCCTGTGGTCAGGAGGCAGCCCCGGGCAGCCTGTGTGGCCCGAGGAGCGCAGGCCTCACCCTGGCTATCTGGACCATGGTCTTGCTGAGCTCTTCTATCTCGTCCTCGCTGTCCCAGACGTTCCGGAAGTCCTCGTGCGTCCAGTCCTCAAACAGGAGCCGCGGCACTGGGGGGACAGGACGTGCAGGCACCGTGACCCTCCTGTGCCAGCTCCACCCACGGGGTGGTCATCAGCCTCCAGAGCAGAATGACCACACAGCTGGGCACCCAGCACGGTCATCCCAGCAATTCCCTGCCTGGCAAGGGAGGGGTCTGGGGGTCGGGGGAAGGATGGAGACGCTGACCAGTGCACCCTCAGGCACTGTCCTGGCGGCCCAGACCCCACTCTCTGGCTCTTCACTGACTGGCTTCCGCGGGACCATCTTCCACCCCGACCTGATCCTAAGGGTCCCCAACGCCAGCTGCACATCTCCTCGAGGGCCCCTCACGGCTCCTCTGGCTCCGGCCTGCTCCCCACTCACCAGGCCCCACTGATCCCACTGCATGTTGGGACACTGTCCCTCCCTGCCAGCTGGGGACCCCAGGACAGGGTGGGGTTGGCGTCACTCTCGGCCCTCAATAAATGCTGGCTGGGTGAGTGAAGAAACTGATGCAGGAGGCACTGGCCATGGTGGGCTGAGGCCAGGTGGGCGAAAGGGCCACAGGACCCTGGCTGGACTGAGGGATGTGAAAGCCGGCTGGGGGCTGGCCACGTTTCTGAGCAGTCAGCAGAGTGACCAATGCACTGGGTCACCCTGGGGCCCACTCATCCACTCACGGAGGTCACACCAGCCAGGCCTCCATCCCTTAGCCTGTGGCCGGCTGACCCCCCACACGCCCTGGACTCACCTATACGTAGGCCCTTGGCCTGCTTCCTGACCGCACGCATCCACCCTGTGGGATGTGAAGAGGACAGTCAATTTAGAGACACAGGCTTCGCCCACCCGAGGAGGAAAACGCTCGGCCACACACGGGAAAGCGGAGGGGAGGCCGATGGAGAGCATCCAGGCCCCCTCCCCCTGTGGAGCCGCCGGGCCGGCAGCTCAGACTCTGGGGCTACTCTTGTAGCTGAGGGTGTCTGAGGGCCAGACTCCAGTGCTGCCCCCTGGCATCGGGGAGCTGCTCTGGGCCTCAGAACTCTGCAACTGGTTGACATGTGTCCTTTCTGGACCCACAAATGTGCTGTCAGGACTCTGCGCCCTCACTGACCCCGGACCCGCCTCGAGTTCTGTGATGTCCGTGTGGTGAGCGAGTCAGACAGCGCCTGGGAGGCAGGACACGTCTTCAGGGACTGTCAGCTCCTGGGGAGGGCCCCTCCCTGCGTGTCCTGGTCAACGGCACTGAGATGACCCAGCACAGCCCCTGGCTGCGTGGCCAGGACGCTCTGCCCGGGGTTCTGCCTCTGCCTGAGGATGGCTGTCGCTGACAGCTTCGCTTCCTTTCCTTCCCCTTCCCCTCCCCTCCCCTCCCCTCTCCTCTTTCCTTTTGTTTCATTTAGTTTCAGACTCAGTTTTCAGAGAAGCTGAACACCCCTCCCAAACACCCCGCCTGGACGTCATGTGCAAACCGCCAAGGGTAGGGGGGTGCAGGCCAATCCTGGGCAGTCATCGCTCAGACACGCAGACTCACACAGGCACATCCTTAAACACACAGTCTCTCTCTCTCACACCCACTGGGCCCAGGGATGAGCCCGGTGAGAACCTTGGTCCACGTCGTGGAGGCCCGTGACCTCGAACATCTCACGGCCACGCCTCTTCAGCTGCAGCCACACGGGCGAGATCTGTGTGAACTTGCCCCCGAAGACCTTGGCGACATCGTAGCCATGGCTGTTCCACTGGCAAAGGACAGAGGCCGGGTGAGCCCACCTGCAGCCGAAGCCAGAGGGCTCGGGAGCTGCCTCCAGATGGGGCACCACAGGCCCAGCTGTGCCAGGAGGACAAGCCCCCCGAGGACCCCGCGGGATTCCCGCTGCACCGATGGCAGCAGGGGTCTGGGGAGGGGAGAAGGCAGACCCCAGTCACCGCCTCGCCTCCAGACCACCCTGTCCACACCAGGGCCCAGCTTACCGGAGTGACGTAGCCCAGGACGTCCCCGGCAAAGTGCCTCTCCCGGGCCTTCGCCGGGCAGTAGCTGCGATGCTCGAGGACCACATCCTCAGCTCGGGGGTCTGTCACCACCAGACCCCGATCTTGGACGGGCTTCTCCGAAAGCTGAGTCTGAAATGAAAGGAAAGGAAGCTGTCAGCGACAGCCATCCTCAGGCAGAGGCAGAACCCCGGGCAGAGCGTCCTTGCCGCGCAGCCAGGGGCTGTGCTGGGTCATCTCAGTGCCGTTGACCAGGACACGCAGGGAGGGGCCCTCCCCAGGAGCTGACAGTCCCTGAAGATGCGTCCTGCCTCCTGGGTGCTATCTGACTCGCTCACCACATGGACACCGCAGACAAGGCGGGAGGAATGCCAGTGTTGAAAGCCGCAGAAATTGGGTGAAGGCAGAAATTTGGACAACATCACAGCAGACGGGGACAGGCACGCCCCCAGCCTCCCAGGCCACGTGGGCACAGGGCCCCATTGGGAAGAGAGAAGACGCAATGGGTCAGTTCTCCAGCCAGTCTCCAGACCACCCTTACCTTCTCCACCAGTGTCTTGGTGGAGGCCTTTTTGGCATCTGACTTGGACAGGGTAGTGTGAACAGAGCCGCAGGCTAGAGCAAGCCAGAGCACCTGGAGGAGCACCTTCATGGCAGGCAGTCACGGGGGGTCCCACCTTGGGGTCCAGGGGGCTGCGGAGAGAGCAGAGCACATGGAAACCCCTAGAAGCATGGGGCATCTCCTCTGATGACCTGGGTCCTCATGGCACTGGGCTGGGCATTGCTGGCCCCAGGACACAGCCCTGCCCTGGACCAGCCCCAACGGCCGGAGTCCAGCTTCCAGCACTGCGGGGCGCCTGGTTTCCCTCACGGCCAGCCAGAAGGGGCTTCCTTGCCTCGCTGACCACTGCCAGCCATGGAGGAGAACCATGGCTCTTCCTCCCCATGAAACCCAGAGAAGTCCCGGCCAGAGGGCCTCACTGGGACTGACAGAGCCACGGAAGCAGAAGACCCGGGCGCCTGCTGGGGTCCACTCAGAGTGTGGAGGCCTTTCCGGCTCTGTGAGTGACCACGGAGGTAACAGAAGAAAACGCCAAAAGGGCTGACTGCACGAGAACACGAAACTTTCCTTCAGGAAATAGAAAAGCAAATGCGAAGAAACAATAAACGGGGAAGAAGTTCTCAGAACACACTGGGCAGCGAATTCCTACCCACTGTCTGTGCATCACACTCAGACTCTCACAACTCGGAAGATGCTCCAGTAAAAACATGCCCACTGCACTGACTTAGGGACGCGAAGAAGAGCAAGACACCCCGAGCCGGGCGGCACCGCGGCCTCCCCGGGAACCAGGGAATGGGCACCTGATGCAGACTCCAGGCCCGGATAGCACCTCCCCAGAGCCGTTTCTGGGAGTTCAAGCTGGAGAAACCTTTCTGGGCGACAACCTTCCTGTGAATGTTCTACTTTCCAACACGTTTCCTTTCGTCACAAACTCCTTTGGAAACATCCCCTCCCACGTGGAAGACACGGGAGGAGGTCTATGGCGGAGGGCAGCCTGCAGCGCCTCCCGCAGGGACAGGCCCTGGGATGGTGGGATGCACGGCTCACAGAGATGTCAGGAAGCGCAAGCACGCAGCGCAGTTCAGCTTTATTTAAAACTCCTGAGCGGGAGGGGGCGCTAATGGCTGTCTGACCTTCGGGTCCTGCTGGGTCCTCCTTGGCTTGACCCGCGTCTCTGTCTTCCTGCGCTGGGCTTTCACTCCCTGTGCAGTCATTTCAGCCCTCGCCCCCGGCCCACCCCCCAGATCCCACCTCCGTCTCGTCCTTCACTCAAGGCAGCTGGGCAACAAGCAGCCAGCCTGGCTGTCACCCTTGACGAGGCTGAGATGCACAGGGGTAGCTGTCGGGTGGGTGTCATCCTATGCAATGAAAGGTTGTAGGTTTGATCTCCAGTCAGGGGACACCCCCCAGTTGTGGGCTGGACCCTCAGCTGGGGTGCGTGCAAGAGGCAGCTGATCTACGTTTCACTCTCACATTGATGTTTCTCTTTCCCCCTAAAATTAGTAAAAACCATATCCTCAGGTAAAGGTGAAAAAAAAACCATGCAGGTGTAAGGAGCACATGGCCAAGTCAGCCCTGGCACGTGTCCCCTCTGGCCCAGCCCCCTGACCAGCAGGTAGGCACATGCATTCCTGGCCAGGCAGGGTGTGCCCAGTCAGGAGTGGGCAGAGCCAGACCCTCCGAAACCCTCCTCTCGACCTGCTTCCCTCCGGAGCAGCATAGGCCGCCCTATTCTGGGATGTCACTCCTCTGGGTTAGATGGGAGCCCTGGTGCAGACTGCGGGGGGCATGAGCTACTCCCCCACCTGCCTGACCCTTGACCTGTGATTTCGTACCAGGGGAAGGGTAAAAGAGGAGAGGGTGGAGATGGGCCGATCTGGAGGAAGACAGGCCCTGTTGGCTTCTGTGCCAGGAGGGGCAACAGGGCAACGGAAGGAGGACCGGACTGAGCATGAGGCCTGGGCGGGCACTGTGGCTGACCACCTGGGCCG